ATTGTTTTGGAGGCTGTCGGTCCAGCCTAGCCTCGAACTCACAGAGATCCGCCTGCCTCTGCCTCCCGGGTGCTGGGATTAAAGGCGTGTGCCACCACCGCCCGGCCAGGCAACTGATTTAAGGTAGATAATCTCTGAGGGATTGCTTCTATGGAAGGACACAGAGACTAGCAATTACTGATGTAACTCCTCTCTCTCTCTCTCTCTCTCTCTCTCTCTCTCTTCCCTCCCTCCTCCCTGTCTCCCTTCCTCCTCCCTCCTTTCCTCCCACCTCAGTCTTTACTTAAACTTCTGGTATGATTGATATTTTCCATATTAAAGGCCATTGACTTGCCGTGGCAGTATTGCAGGGTCATTACCATTACCATTATCATTGACATCAGTGCCCATCTTCCTCAGTCAATGACTTTTCAATCTCCAAGTTGATATTACAGTTAGGCCTTCAACCTCTTAAGGTAGTCATTCCCTCCTTCCCTTCCAACATGCCTCTTAAACTTTCTATGCAATGTCCATGATCTTAAAACACTATGGCATATCAGCAATATAAATAATATATAATAATTTATAATACATCTGACAGAGGGTTGATCTCAGAAAATTTACAAAGAACTCAAGAAGCAAGTCTCCAAAACACCAAAGGATCCAATTAAAAAGTGGGCTACAGAATTAATAGAGAATTTTCTTTTTTTAATTTATTTTTCAGTTTAAATTTAGATTAGAAACAAGGTTGCTTCACAAGTCAGTTCCAGGTCCCTCTCCCTTTCCCTCCCCTCCTCCCGTGCCCTCCCCCCAACCCTCCCCCCCCCGTTATCCCCTCATTTCCCCAGGGAGGGTGAGGCCCTCCATGGGGGTGTCCATAGTCTGTCATTTCATATAGGGCAGGGCCTAGACCCTTCCCCAAGAGTTCAGGGTGAGAGTGCACCTCACATTGTTCTATGGGAGTCCAAAGTCCATGTGTATACTCGGGATGAGTACTGATCTACTGCCCAAGGCTCAATAGATTACCTGGGCCTCCTCACTGGAGAATGTTCAATAGAGGAGTCTAAAATGGCTGAGAGGCACTTGAGAAAGTGCTCAACATCCTTAGCCATCAGGGAAATGGAAATCAAAACAACTCTGAGATACCATCTCACTCCTGTCAGAATGGCTAAAATCCAAAACACTGATGACAATTTACGCTGGAGAGGATGTAGTAAAAGGGGAACACTCCTCCATTGCTGGTGGGAGTGCCAACTTGTTCAGCCACTTTGGAAATCAGTATGGAGATTCCTCAGAAAATGGGAATAAACCTACCACGAGACCCAGCAACTCCACTCTTAGGCATATATCCAAAAGATGCCCATTCATACAACAAGGATGTCTGTTCCACTATGTTCATAGCAGCATTGTGTTGGGGAAGTCCTGTGCCTTTGTCATTAAAGAATAAAGCACTGTCTGGCCAATAGGGAATCTAGATAGGAGGGACTAGGAGTCCAGAAGGACTCTGGGTAGGAGAAACACAAGAGAGTCGAGATGTAACGCCATTGGGGTAGGAAGCCCGGAAACCTCTCCGGTAAGAGACATACTTAGATTAACAATTATGGGGTAATTACTTAAGTCAGAGCTAGCCAGTAAGAAACAAGCAAGGCCAACAGCTTCATAATTAATATGGCCTCCTGTGTGTTTATTTGGGACTGATGCGGATCTAGAACCAGGCTGGCGGAAAGGCTTCTCTCAAGGAAAAAGCTTCTCTTTACAGCATTATTTGTAATAGCCAGAACTTGGAAGCAACCTAGATGCCCCTCAACCAAAGAGTGGATAGAGAAAATGTGATACATTTACACAATGGAGTACTATTCAGCAGAAAAAAAACAATGGAATCCTGAGATCTGCAGGCAAATGGATGACACTAGAAGAAACCATCCTGAGTGAGGTAACACAGTCACAAAAAGAGAAACATGGCTGAGTGAGGTAACACAGTCACAAAAAGAGAAACATGGCATGTACTCTCTCATATATGGATTTTAAACATAGATCTGGGGAGTGCCAGCCTACAATCCCATGGCCAGAGAGTCTGTGAAACAGACCGTTCTTTCAGTGGCTGATGGAAGAAGAGGCAGACTCCCATGGCTATGAACTGAGCTGAACTCAAGAAAGCCAGTAACAGAGAGGGAGGACTGATGACCAAGGGGATTAAGAACAGCTAACCTGACAAGGGTTAACTCTTGAATCCCAGGCATCAACCTGGGAATCCAGCATGGGACTGATCAAGACCCCCTGAAGGTGGGTGTCAGTGAGGAGGCCTAGGTAATCTATTGAGCCTTGGGCAGTAGATCAGTATTTATCCCAAGTATACACATGGACTTTGGGCACCCATCCAACAATGAGAGATACACTCTCACCCTGAACTCTTGGGGGGAGGGTCTAGGCCCTGTCCTGTATGAAATGACAGACTATGGACACCCCCAAGGAGGGCCTCACCCTCCCTGGGGAAATGAGGGGATATTGGGGGGTTGGGGGGGCATGGGAGGAGGGGAGGGAAACAGAGAGGGACCTGGAAGTGACTTGTGAAGCAACCTTGTTTCCAATTTAAATTTAAAAATAAATAATAACAAAATTTATAATATAAAATTTTAACCCTTCTGAGCTCTGAAGATGATCTTTGCCCCTAGTTAATGAACTTACCTTAATGCTTTATTGGGGGACAAATTTCGAGATAAAATGACTAAAAGTAAAAGCAAAACCCCCACATTTTTAACAACCAGCCCCTCACTAGTTGAATCCTGACCACAGTACCTTGTGAAGCCTTATACAAATACTTAAAGCCTAATAATCTTATTTTTTTGAGACAGTGTCTTTCTATTTAGCCCTGGGTGTCCTGGAACTCTCTATGTAGACAAGTCTAGCTTTGAACTCACAGAGATCCTCCTGTCTCTGCCTCCTGAGTGCAGGAATTAAAGGCATGACTATATCCTGTTTTAAAGTCTAACAATTCTTTTTTGAAGACAGAGTTTGTTTGTGTAGCCATGGCTGTCTTGGAACTCACTTTGTAGACCAGGCTGGCCTTGAACTCACAGAGATTTGCCTGCCCCTGGCCCCCAAGTGCTGGAATTAAAGGCATGTGACACCACCACCTTGCCAAGAAGCCTTATAACTTGTAAAGCTCCAAGATGCCTTATTCCAAATGGCCAACCCCCAACAATTGGTGCTATACGTTTTTCTCCTGAACACCATCGTGAGATACTTGGTCATGTATCCAAATACAGACCCACACAAATAGCACATGAGGTAAGACTAAGTAACTTTCTTTAACTGTATAAAAGTATCCCATTCTCTGTCAGGGAGTGATTTTCTGTTACAAACTGCTCACTGTGTGTCTATTTTCAATTTAATCCATCTCTTCTACATCTATTCTGGCCTGATAAGTACATTTTCTGGGCCTCTGATTTTTTACTATCATTCCTGGCACAGCAGTATAGATCGAAATCACCTTAGAATATAAAACTACTAGCATAAAACAAAATCATTTTAATTAAAAATAGATAATACTAAGCCTATGACTATAAAGCAATATACTTTATTATCGGCTATTTGATATTGAAATCATGTTTTTATACATAATAAAATGTGTATGCATAATTAAAATACACATGAAATTACTATATACAATATATGTGTGTTCTCTCTCCTGGACATTATTATTACTAAGTATCTAATGCAATGATGGTGCATTCTAGGATTAAAGAAATATCTGTTGGAAATGTGAAAGAATGAGCTCTCAGAAGGCTAAAATGGATCAATTTAACACTTGTACATTTATGATACATATTTATATAAAATTTATCTAATTTTGTTGCTATAGATTGTACGGATTGGTGGTTAACAGGAGATGTTACCTTTTAACAATATGCTTTAAAAATTAGAATGTATATATGTCTTTGAAGATTTATAAGCAGTTAATCATTCCTGGAAGGAAGGGGTTCACAAGGCCCCACACCCCCATGAAGAATTATTGGCAGTTAATGGTGGTTGGAAGAGGCAGACATCTTCAGTGGTGTACCCATTCCTAAAATGCCCACACTCCTATACAATATCCTTCATCCATGCTCATGCAAGAGACCCTAAAAAACTTGATTCATCACCAAAACCAAGCAGCTACATCCAAGAAAACAGAAGAGAGACTAGATGGGAAAAGGAAGGGCATCAGTTGATGGGGAGGAAAAGAGGGCAATGGAGGTATGATCACAATACATTATGTACATACATGAACTAACAAACTGTGTATGTTCTTATCTTTTTAAAATAGGAGAAATGCATGTGATGACATTGTCTTTGAGTAATTTATGTTTCATTCTGTTCATGAGTTATACTGAGCTTTATAAATTCAATAAACTTGAATTAAAATTTGATCAGAATATAGCCACTATAATTCAGATTTTGCAAATATATTATAGATAGAGCTCTATAAAAAGCAGCTTACATGTCCAGATATTTCAGCTTGCCTTTTTGTGGCCTTATATTTTGATGCGAACATTAGAAGTATATGAAGATATTTTCATTGCCTTTTGATATTCTCCAGTCTGGCAAACATGTCAAACATCTCAACAGACATAAATAGCTCTCTGTATTAACCTGTAGTACATTAACTGCTTCAAAGATTTTACTATTGAATTAAAATCATTAGCACAGGTCATATTATAAGGTAAGTGTTAAATTCCCATATTTAAGTCAAGTAATATTATAGGTAGCAATCACTATCTACAATGTCTGGACTTCTTTGAACGAAATTCTTCAATTAACTTGCTTTCATGTTTTAAAAGTTAGTTTTGAAGACTTCTAGAAAAAATAGCTAGATTAGCTCTTGTGCTATTGATGCTAAGGCCCTGTGAAGAGCATTTTAGGAGTATTCTGTCTCACAAATGGTAGGAGATATTACTGAATTGTTAGTAATTTTACAACAATATTTAGGCTCACTCACTGTGATTGTAAGATAACACACATCTAATTCTACTTTAACAAACCTTGAATGTGCTGAACCGACCCATCATCTGCTTTTATGGTAAGGACCTCTCCCGGGTTAACTTGAATGAATACAATCTAGAAATAGATAATTATTTAATGACATACTTTTTGTAAATCTATGGAAAAAGTCATTATCCTTTTGAATAATATTCAGAACCCCTAATTATGGGGATTTCAAAATGCTCAAGGAGAAGAGTACAATTGGGTCAATGGGCACTTAGGAGAAACTCAATACCCCTTAGTAAGAGCAGGTCACTTCCCCCACCCAAGTAAAGCTTAATGAAGGTCATAGAAAATAGGTGCATTGAGGTGAAAAGACATTATTCTCCTCTGCATCTGCCCCCAGAACAAAACCTCTACAAACAAACAAATCCCAGCAAGTAAAATTTATCTGAAGGTAAAAGTCAGACATACTTGAGGCCAGTATTGGGGACAAGAAGGCCAGGTGTTATATATCTTGGGTTGAATCATGGTCTGTGAATAATGAGAATATGTTGCCATGGCATTGGGGTCCAGAATCCAATTCTCCATCTGAAAAATGTGATGTTGATTACAAACCATTTTATTTTTGTCATTTTTAGAAATAAAGCTTATCATACACCAATAATAAAAATGAGCATCATTTTGACATCTTCATGCAAGCATATATCTGAATAATTTCTGTCCATGTTGTTTTGCTAAAGTATCATCTTTGCTTTTTTAATTCAAGAGACAAAAAGTCTGTCATCCTTTTGCATTATATATTAAGTTAGGCCTTCTACTGAATCTATTAAAGTGGAAAATGCAAAATTTGAAGTACATTTTTTCCTTCTAGAAACCAGTCTTACTCATAGAAGTCATTGCTATTCAGATACAATACTTTCAAATATTAGATAAGTGAACTATTAACTTAATGAGACCCAACATTTTAAAAGATATACCCTATGAAATTGTAGGTAGTAGAAACTTTACAATATAGGTCTAGGCCTTTTAAGTTGTGCAAAAGAGTTTTTAAAAAGCAGCTCAAAAGAATTTTTAAAAAGCAGCTAAATTAATTCAAAAAGATATTTTATGTAGGAAAATCTAGTGTTGAATGTCTTAAGTGATTTTCAAAAGGTTTACAAGGAAAATAACCAATGCTGAAAAGACAAAAAAACAAAACAATGACAATAAGAAAAAAGACTTTCCAAGTGATAAATAGTCTAAATGAAGACCAAACCAGTTAGAGTGCAAATAAAAAGGAGCAAAATTTTTCTTACAGGATACATGGGATCTCCATTGGTAATTGGCACTGGTGGATGTATTTCAGCTAGAATAGGTGCAAATTGATGTTCCATTGAGTCTAAAAGGACTGTCTTTCACATTAATTGATACTCTAAAATAAAGAAACAAACAAACAGAAACTTACAGATTAAATGTAGTCAGAATCGTGTTTTTAAATGACAAAACAGACAATATACTTCTGAAAAAATCCATCTTAATTTTCCTTTCTACCAATGTTTGACTTAAGCAGAATTATGTTTTTTCCCATGATAATTAAATTTTTTTTAAAATTTAGGTTAGAAACAAGCTTGTTTCACATGTCAATCCCAGCTCCCTCTCCACTCTCTCCTCCCCCTCTCCCTGCCAGGTCCCCCAGCCCCCCACCCAATCTCCACTCTGATCACCAAGGAGGTTGAGGCCCTCCATGGTGGATCTCCAGTGACTGTCATTTGCCTTGGGTAGTATTTATCCCTGGCGTACAAATAGACTTTGAGTGCCCATGCCACAATGTGGGATACTCTCTCAGCAAGCAGAATTATGTTAAGATATCATTTAAAGTAATCATTGATCTTCATAAATGACAGAACCAAGTATGGTGTTGGTGGTCTCTGCTTGATTGTTTTCTCTTCATTCATGTGAAGACAAAGATAACTCATTAAACAACATAAATAAAAGTTTAGTTAAACAACTCATTGACTATTTGATCCGCTTACACCCAGCTCAAATGACTATTTCCAATTTATGACATTAATTACAAATAATATTTTATATTGTAAAGATAGCTTTAAGAACTAATTAGTTCCCATTAATTATGTTAGAAAAACAGAAATTTTCAGTAACTGTCTTGGACACTAAGCCTAACAGATCAAACCTAATGTAAACATTTAAAACCAAACATTTAAACTTGTATTTCTTTCCTGATTGAAATATTTAATCTATTGATGACACTGAACAACAAAACAAACAGTTAAGCAAAAACCAGAAAGGAAAATGTGATTACTTTTAAGCTAGAGAGTGAAGATGCTCAAGAGAGAACCTCTCTGGAGTGAGGCAAGTCTTGAAATGAGGGTTTTGGAACACAGCACTTTAGGAAAAGAACACTTCTATGTCATAATTTGTCGACATCATTTCCTTTGCAAGTTTTTAAAGGGCTCTTAGGAGATTTATTTTTGAATATTGTTTCCCCACAAAGTAGAGATAAATGTTTGAAAAGAAAACACTTTTGGAGTCATGAAGAAGTCTGGATTGTTTCTAGCAGGGAAAAACACACATTTGTTTAGGTTTGAGGGACAGTGAATAGTTACCTCTTTAAGAGCTTTCAAATGTGCCCCCGCTCTGGAATGCCAAGCAACTTTTATTATTCTAAATCTCTCTTTAGTAATCAAGGTATTGGCTTAATTTAGGGAAAAACTCATTGTTCTGTGGTCTATTCTGATGGCTGGGTTGGTCAACTTAAAATATTATTTTAAAGCAGACTATGCCTCCACCCCTCTCCTATCTCTCTTTCCCTCCTTTCTCTCCTCTCTCCTTCTTTCCTTTCCTCCCCTCCCTACCTCCTCTTTCCCCTCTCCCCCTTTTCTCCTTTCCTTTCCCTCTCCTCTCTCTCCTTAATTTCTTTTCTTCCCCTCTCCTCTGACATTCATTCCTTCTCTTCCTTTTCACTCCATATTGTACTAAATTTCATCAAAACTTCCAATAATTTGTGTATAAGTCATTATGAATTGATATCATTTACTATGTCACCACTGCTAGAATCTGTTGACTTGTGGATGCCATCCGTATGCCAACAGATTCACAGTGGACAGACTGAAGGAATACAAATTGTCAACGGAGTTTTACTTGTTCCTAAATTATAATTGGTATCAGCTTCTCTAAAATAGAAACATCTGAAAATTCTTTCCCCATAACAAACATATGGGATTCAGTTCCCTTTTCGGACTTTTAAACCTTTAAGTCTTCTAGGCTAAGTTCCCTATATTATGTAAGGGATCCAATTCCCTTTTACAGCATGGGTAATGACCTGTATTTTTCCCGTATAACTTGATCATTAATTTCATAATTAAAAAATTAACTGTTAAACACTTTTAGATCTTCAGTTTCTTAAAGATATTATGACTATTTAGGGGCTGGAGAGATGGCTCAGAGGTTAAGAGCACTGGCTGTTCTTCCAGAGGACCTCGGTTCAATTCACAACACCCACATGGCAGCTCCAACCTTCTGTAACTCCAGATCCAAGTGATCCAATGCCCTCTTCTAGCCTCCATGGGCACTAGGCAAGCATATAGTGTACAGATAGACATATAGGTAAAATATTCACACACATAAAATAAAATAATGCTATTAAAATTTTTAAGACACTATGACTATTTACATAACCACTGCCAAAATTTAAGCATAACAATAACACCACAGTTATTTTAATGAAGAAACACTTATCCTTTTGAGCATACACAATAAAATGTCAACAATCAAACTGTAAAAGTTCTAGGACTGAATTTTCACAGTTATATCAGTATAATTACAAACACAAGTGGACTAAATGAATGAGAACACACACTTTCCTATCAACAACTTTAGTTTAACAACTGCTTTAAATACAGCTTTCATCCATTAGGTACAAGTAAGATAAATAAGTACACAATGAAGGACAATTTGACAAAGGCTTGGTTGTCAATGATTTTTTTCTAGTGTAGAGAATTTCTACGGTTGCTTCATTAAATACCTCTCATCCAGCATAATCTATTTTCCACCTCATTAAGTAGGTCAGTTAACTACTCTATAAGGTGAAGTACCTTTTTCAATGAAGCTTTAATAGTTTTGCTTTTCAAAAGTCTCCTGAAAAAATTTTCAAGCTTCCATTTTTCTGTTCTATTTTCCTCACAAAATTTACTATTATTCTGCTACTACTTTGTACTGTAATTGGCCTATGAATGTAATGTGTTAACTGAAACAGCTCTAAAGAAGAAAAATGCTGTGTCAGAAAAAGCACAAAAATAGTGAGTGGCATTTGTGTAACTACAAACTCCCTGAAACTCATTTCAATAAATTTACTACATGTGAACAAAATTCATTAACTGTGGCCTAAATAAAGAATTACAAAGCACAGAGGAACAACATGCTTTTCAGAAGGAGAAAAGGCTTTAGAAATTGATAAGAAAATGTTAAAGTAGACACATTCAGGCTTCTTAGCTGTTTTTATACTTTTAATTTCAAAATTCATGAATTTTCAGACTCAGAAGTTCAGAAACTGTTACATTTAAAAAGTGCTGAAGCCCTATTACATGTTGTAATACAGGATTTTCTTTTTGCTTCTTACTACATAAATGTTGATGCTAAACTACGTAACTAGACAAATTTACCATAAGCATCAAATGCAGCAAAGGGACGATCCCAAGGAAACACTCTGCCTTGGTAATTGCTACAGTTTAATTCAATAAATGGTCTGATATAAACATTCACTCTTATTCTGTTGTAAAAAAATAAAGATATTTAAAATAGGCAGCTTTGGTATCTGAATCTGTGTCTGCTCCAACAACCGAAATGCTTCGGAAGTCACTTACAAACATGTTATACTAGGCCATGTGTGAGTAATTTCAAAAGAAATACATGAACCTTAGACATTATTTCCAATTTTTGTTGAAAGCAGAAAAATATATCTTACTGTGTAACCTGATTAGGAACTGGTGCTTGTAAATACTGGTTGCTATGATTGGAAATTTTTAAAGATAGTTTTAGAATTTTTCTTGACCTAGGTTTGCAGTTTAAATTTATCTTTTAACTTTATATAAAGCGCACTTTGAATTTCTTTGCTATCCATATTAATTATGCAAGGAATTGGTAGGGCTTATTCAATCTTAGTGAATGAGAACAGGTGGTGCTAGTATTTTAGTATTTTTGTTTTATGTCAGAGAAGGTAGGATGCATTGTTTTATAGCAATGTCTGATGGTCAAAAGGCCTGGGGTCAAATTCTTGCTTTGCCCCTTATTAGGCAAGTTCTGCTTTGTTTGTATTCTATACTGCTGAGTACTTAACAGGCACTTTAGAAATGCTGAATGAAGGCTGGACATTTTCAACTACAAATGCCCTACTTTAGTGGGAAATCACTGGAAAACAGTCACAATTACAAAGTATTCCAAATTAAATGCTATATTTCCAAAGAAAAGAGCGTTTGCTAAACAACACAGTTTAATATATAAATGAATTATTACTTTGAGGATCATTGGTTTTCCCTGTAATAACATGGACAGATGTGCAAGCTTCAAGTTAAAAATAAAAAAATACCAATTTATAGATAAAACCATTTCTGTAACAATCACTCAAGCCATCTGTTAATTTAAGTAGCTAATATCAGAGAAATCTATTTTATTGTAATCAAAACAGCAAAGTTCTCTAACATTACCTACTGAAAGTGCATTCCGACTATATTTTTCTCATGAATACAACAGCTGAATCAGGAAACCGACTCTGAAGATGGCAACTTTGGGAGTGATGAAAAATTGCAAATATTTTTTAGGTTTTCACCAAATAAGGGGCACAAAGAGGTCATTCAACATCAGATGACAAAGTTGGAGCTTACTTCCAGGCTCCTTTCAAGTCAACCCTAGTCCCTGTTTCAAAAGACCAGTTTAGGGTTGGAGGGATAGCTCAGCCATTAAAGGCTAGGCTCACAACCAAAAATACAAGAGTCAAAAGACCAGTTTAGTTCTGAAGCTGAGGTTAAAGTCTACACCCAGTATAAGGCAATGTTTACTAGATAGCATCGCTTAAATGTCCCCATTTAAAAAATACATTGCATTTTGATTGATGCATCATATTTATACAACGTATTTATATTTATGAGTTACAACAGGATGCTTTGATTCATGTAGCAAATCAACTCACAGGAACTAGCATGCCCATTGCTTTAAACTTTTACAATTTCTTTATGATGAGTACACTCATATTCTTCCTATTTTGAGATACCTATTATTTTATACAACATATTATTTTGCTACAAATGACTTCTCAGAGAATTGCAGGTTTAATCAAAGAAAACAAACAATAAGGGGTTGGGGAGATGGCTCTGTGGGTAAGGTGCCTGGAACACAAGCATGACGACCTGAGATCAGAGTCACAGCTCCCATGTGAAAGCAGGTGCAGAAGTACATACTTAGGGCCCCAGAACTCTGAGGATGAGCAGGTGGATCCCTGGGGCTTGCTGACTAACCAGTTTATCAGTTAGGAAGCTGCAGGTTCAATCACAGAACCCGTCTAAAAAATAAGGTGGAGAGAGATTGAGAGAGTTACATCGCCCTTTGGTCTCCACATGCACCTTATTGTGTATGAAGGCACCTACATACACTCATGTACACATACCTATACCTATACATCACACATACATACACACCCACACACTCACAAGAAGACAAACATTAAAAATAGCTGAAACGGAAATAATAGTAGCAGAAAGTGCTTAGTTCCTTCAGTACATGCTAAGCACCATTCTAAGCATATTAACACAGAAACTCATCTAATCCTTACAATAGCACATGAAGTAGGCTTTGTATTATACTGTATTATGTACTGAGTGTCTAGCATGTGATTGTCATATGCCTGCTGTTGTGTGGAACCAGGGAAATACACAGTATTTTCTATTGCCATCCACCTGTCTGCCTGGAAGTTTCAAGGCTTAAATTCTTTTGAGAAAGGATATTTAGTTGTGTTCTTCCTTGGCTGCCTCCTCCTGTTACTCTCTTGTTCCTCCTTCTTTGCAGTGCTGAGGGTCAAAGCCAGGGTCTTGCACATATTGAGCAAGTGGTCTAACACTGAGCTACATTCCCAGCTCAGACAAAGGGCGCTTAGAAATTAGACAAGATAACACAGTGTAAGAATGCCATGACTTCTTAGTTTTGTTCTGCCCACATAATCTGGTGGTCAAAACAGAATTGACTTAAGATCAGTTTCTTTCCAGTCTATCTTCTAACTCAATTTACCTTGCAACCTATTTTCTATCTATCATCTATCTATCTATCTATCTATCTATCTATCTATCTATCTATCTTCTATCTATATTTATTACATGATACT